AACAAAACGTTATGGGACTACACAGCAAATATGTCACAAACAAAAGACAAAATCTCAGTACTTCTCTATATTTGGCTTATATAGTGAGACAACAAACGTGTTCATAATTTCCCAATGATGTGATATTAGGGTCAGCAGAAAGCAAAGTTTTTTCACATAGTTTAATAGCCTTGTGGAGTTCATTCAGATGGCCATACTTTGGTTGCCTGATCAAACCTATCAAAATAGCAGATCTTTTTTAAAGATTTGAACAACCTGAATCATATCTTTTTGATATTCTGCATGAGCCGAATAAAAATTGCTGTTTCAAGCAGGCTAGTAAATGACGCACCTTATCTGTTCGTACCGGTGTAGTATAGATAGATTATACCAGGTCAAATATCAGTTAATACAAATAAATACCAGGCCAACCAATATTATTAACTACTGGTACCAGCTATCAATTTTTAAAATTTTTAAAAGAAATAAAAAATAAAACTTCAAGTTAGCGATTATATAGAAAAAACTTAATGCAAATGTTTAATTTTAATTTTAATAATATTTGTAGTTATTTTAGCATAATATTCTTATATCTTGTACTTTAAATTATGAGTTTGACTTATATAATGTATTTGTAACTAAAATTTTTAGATATACATGATTTATTTTATAAACATTGTGTTACGTACATTCAGCATAGATTATAAAGTTAACTAGTATACTATTTTTTTATAAATTTATTATTATAATTATTATTATTATTGTTGTTGTTGTTGTTCTTGTTGTTATTATTATGTGTTTATATATGATTTTATATAAACTGATAAGTACAAGAAGTTGAATGCATATGTTCCCTTTACTCCTACCTTATTCAGCTTGCAACGAACTGGGCTTTCCACATTTTAACTATCGAAATAGTTGATTTTTTTAAAATTTGTCACTTAAACAAAGTAATATCCTCATAAATAATTTTGTGAGCTTTAGCTTTTGGTAACCATATTCATCAATGGGAGTAAGTGGTGTTTAAATATCTATGATCCAATCATATATATCAAAAAGTGTTTAAAAATCTAACCATATTCATCAATTGGAGCATCATAGTCATAGCTGGTTGTAACGAAAGGGCCACCAGCAGTTCTTCCAAAGTTTGTTCCTCCATGGTACTGCGAAAAAAAAAAAAAAAGTTGGAATACATTATAAGAATATTAGATTAAAAAGAAAAACTTCAACTGGAATTTAACCCAAAACAAAGGTTAATATTTGTATTGATAGTACTGATAAATAATAATGAAATAAAAGTTTTTTAGTATTGCAAATATTACTATAATTTTATAAAATTATAGTAGATCAAGGAAGATAAAGAATTGGTCCATTTATTTTCTTTTTTCACCATTATTAAAATAATAATTAACATATACATTTTCTTCTTTTTTTCTAAATAAGTTGCTACACCAAAACAGCGAAGTTCACAAATTTTTATTTTTGCTTCCTGGGGAATCAAGCAAGAAAAGCTTAAAGGAGAGTATCTTATTCTTTTACTTTATTATGAAATATTAACAATTTAAAACTAGTCCTAAAATAATTAAAAATTTGCAGGCCCATTTAGATATATGAAAAAATTTATACTTTTTTGTAAACTCATATATATGTACATATGAAAATATGTATTTATCAAAAAACAAAAATAATATTTTGAAAAATAATGATGTAAAATAAAATTTTAAAAAGTAAAACTAGTCTCAATGTCTGAGTTGCAACACACCATGTAATAATTCACAAAAGAGCCACCCTTTTGAATGAACCGAGCAACTGCAAATGCCAAATCTTCAACTGGGCGTTTATAGTTTGGACTACCAAAATCTGTGAACCTGTCAAACAAAGAACAAATAACAAGGAAACCCATTTATCCAATTATAAAGACAAAATTGAAAGTATATATTGGAGGATTTAACTTATCTTCTTCAACATATAAACTATTAATATAAATTTTATCAATTTTGAATAATATTGTGGTAAAAGTTTTTGGAAACTAATGGATTTCTAGAGATTATAAACTTAAAAAAAATACACAAGGAATTTACTTCTTGGCATTAGTTTTTATTTGTAAATCAAAAAATTATATGCTAAGATGTGAATAATTTATGGTAGTTTGCTATTGTTTATATATTAACATATGCTTATCTCTCACACAAACCCTCCGTATATTGTACTGAAATTTAACTAATAAAAGTTGAATTTTGAACAAATAATCAATTGTGTCATCAATTATCATGAAAGTGAATATCCAATTATTTAATCTATTACTTACATGTTAACAAAAGGAATCATTCAATATTTAATTCTTATTATTTCTCTCAAAATTAACTTATTGACTAAAATGTAAATCTAACTTACCACCCACTCCAAGCCTCAGTCCACAGTGTAGGTTTGTAAGGCTTGTTTGGAGAGAAATAATCACAATAGAAACCATTGCAGCCGTTTATCTGACAGAATTATGTGCATAATAAAGAATGTTAAAACTCTCTCATCACTAAAAATAATCCAGAATCGAATCCTTCTCTAACCCTATACCAAAAGACTTTATAAACAAATTACTCTCAATTATAAAACTAACGAATTTGAAGCAAAAAATCGAGTCATTTTAAAGGGTTGAAGACTTATATACCTCCCAAGCTAGTATCTTATAAATAAAACAGTACCTTCAAATGAATTATAAACATAACGAATCTCTTATGACCTACTAAAATGCTTACCACGGGATCGGGAGCATCATCTTCCTTGCACATTACCCAGGGGACTCCAGTGTTCATTTCAAAAGCCATTTTTGCTGCCCAAGTCATGTATGCATAACCAGCAGCCCCTAATGCCTTGCTTTCTGGTCCATACTCATTCTCAATCTGCACATAAACAAACATAATCCCAATCAGCATAGAAAAGAAGGGTTCTAACACAGTGATTCAGAGGCACCAGTTACTACACAATGTTATATGATTACTACACAAATTAACTAATTTACTGAATTACTATAAGATGTTGAAAAGTTACTATGAAAGCTTCATGCTTCCAAGACATCATAGACTTTCCCCATTAAGAAAATGAGAAACACATTTGCTTTCTTTTGAATAGTTTTATCAGTCTTAAGAATCCGAATACCAAATACCCCATTATTTTCGTCCAGAGATAATTTATTAGATGAGGTTACATGATGGGTCCCATAAGCAAGCTCAAGCATGAGAAAATTTATAAGAAAATAAATTAAAGAACAAAATGGGAATTGAACCAAACAGGACCTAAGCAAAGTTCAGTGAAAGTATTTATGCATCACGAGTGACTTTACAAATTAAGATATCAGATAGCCAGAAGTAACAGATGAATAAATTTTTTAGTTGCAGTAATTAAATGCTCATGTGCCAGCAATTTATTGCAGTGAAAAATGACCAGAAAACAAGTACCTGAGAGAGGATAATGGGGCCACCTTGAGACTCAAACAACTCTTCATCCTTCATCATTTGCACAATTTTTTGAGTAAATCTTTGCATTTCCATCTTTTTCACCAGTATATATATATACACAAGCACATACATACATACATATGTAGGTGTGTATATATAAGAGACAAGAGTAAGAAGTTCAATTAGTGATAAACCTTGAAAATGAGACGGGTTATAAATAGGAATTCATAGAAAGGCATCTGCGACGTTTGGAATTTACTTCTCTTGACTTTATTGACACACACACCTACCTTGAAAGGTTCATTATCTGTTCTAAAGCTAATGCCTGGAACATACTTCAACCAAACAGGAAATCCCCTGAGACATTAATGGCTAGAAAATTAAAGAGATTGAAAAAACAACTAAAAACCAAAATGTAGAGAAATTTAATGTTACCCAAAATTCCACTCTGCACAAACATAAGGCCCAATTCGAAGATGAACATACAAGCCAGCTTTCTGAACTAACTTGATAAATTGAACCAGATCACATCTTCCCTCAAAATTATACTAAAAAACCCAGAAAAAAAAGAACACAAAATCACAGGAAAGTATAAACAAGAAGCATGAAAATCTAAGAAACATTGCAGAGAAAAGAAAACCCCAGAAAAAATGGTATAAAGATAAGAACAATTAAGAATGAAAATCTAAGGAAAGAAAATTCGAGAAAATAAAAATAAAATGACAGCATAATGTGAACAAAAAGCGCGAAAACCCAAGAAAAAAATTTACATTGCCCGGAGAAGGTTCATGGAGATTCCAGAACACGTAAGTGTCAATAGCATCCAACCCACCATCTTTGGCATTCTGTATTAGACCTTCCCACATCTGCAGTACAAATCCATAAATTAACAGTAGAAGTTACCATCCACATTTTTTCAGGAAAATCCGAGATGGGTTTTGGGGGGGGGGGGGGGGAGGGAAAAGTGGGTGCTCATGTACCTGGGGGGTGCTTCTAGGATAATGAATGGAGCCAGAGAAGAGAAGCCTTCTCTGGCTATTAATGACGAGAGCTTTTCTGTCATAGCCAACACTGCATTGTGTCAGCTGGAGACCCAGAAACCAAAACAAAATGCAGAGAAAAACCCAGTTGGAAATGGAAGCTGAGGTAGCTTCCATTTTTGTGGAGGAAAGAGGAAGAGAAAGAAGAAGAAGAAGAAGACGAAGAAGAGGAAAATTGGGAATGAAGAGACTGTGGGTGTGAACAAAATAGAAGAAAAATACAAATTAGCAATGGAGTTGCTACTCTGCAACAGAACAGAATTTCTTTGTCTTTTTGGGTGACTTCGATTGTCACCCACTGATGTATGCAGTTTTTTCTTTAACCCCAAAAAAAAAAAAACAAAAAACAAAGAAAGAAGGAAAGACAGTTGGCTGAAAAGTAGGTTAACATCAAAGATGGATCCCAAGGAAAAAAAAAAAACACTGTGCAGAGAAGAGCATCAAAGCAATGTTTTAACTTCTTAGGTAGAAAATCTAGGCACGTCCCAAAAGAAAATTAAAGATATTCATTAATACAAGTGATTTAATTTTTTAATATCTTAAATTTTTACTTAAATTTTATGAATTTAAAATTTAAATTTTATCATTTAATAAATAGTAAAAAAAATTAATTAAAGTAGTAAAAAAATGTAAATATTTTTTATTGTCAAGCGATTTTTTTTTTTTTTTTTACTTTTATAATTGGGTTTATTTTTGAAAAAAAAAAACATTTTCTTATCTTGTTTTTTTTTTCAAAATAATGTCTTTTAATTCCACTCTAAATTTATAATTGGATAGTTTTTATGTGAGTCATGAATTTCTAACTCATCTTTTTGAATAAAATGGTTGTCCTCTTATTTTATTCATTTTAATTATTAAAAAAAACTTTATAAAGTGAATACAATACTAAAAATAGTACAAATTGTAGATAGTATTTGTGTGTATTTTAATTATTTATCCCAAAAAAAAAATTTATAAATAGATTAATTGAATTTAATGAGTGCATTTTGATGACTTTATGGATGTCAAATTATTACACATGCACCCAATTTTGAGAAAGGAAAATATGTTGATGCAAAAATTTCAATTATAGAATTTTGATATTCGAACACAATAAATTCTATAATCATTGTATATTGTATTGTATTCTAAAGAATGGATCGCTTCTAAAAATGAATCTGTTAATTTTTTTCCCAATTGATTAGACTGTATATGTAATAATTTATTTTGATTCGTGTTTATAATGATTAAGTTGAGCAAATAAAGGAACAGAAAAAATATACGATTCCTTCGTGCATGCTCTACATGGCTCGGTAGAATATCGTTCAATTAGTAGAATTATGTTTCTTATAATTGAATTGTAGCGATTAATGTTATGAATTTTAAAAATTATAAATATTAAATCTACCCAATTAATTAATTAATGATATTTTTATTAAAAAGTATAGAGGTGAATTAAATAAAAAAAAAAACTGAAAGCTTTCTTTTTTTTTAGGTTGATGTGAGTGAATAAGGTGCTCATTTGGTGCTTTAGGTGAACTGGTTTTTAGAAAACTAGGGTTTGTGGGGGCTCATATACAACAACACCCATCTAATTATACTTTTTTATTTTTTGGAAGC